AGAAAATTCCTCCTAATTTCCAACCTAAGTTTCCTCTGTTGCTGCCTGAAGCCATTGCTCATAGTCCTGCCCCATATAGCCACAGAGAATAGTCTATCTCCATTAAACATGGTGCATACATTACAGAAGCTGTGTACTATAATGGCAGTCTGTACCTTGTTATGGAAAGCAGGGCTTATCAGATAAATGTGATTTTTTTGATAAATGCTAATGAAGAAACGTAGATGGGCAAAATGGGTTTCCTGAGTAAGCTGTCAAGAGTGGAATAGACGGGCCCAAGATAGGCCACAACTTTTGTCTTCAGTGCTTCTGATGGCTGTTCTGTATGCTGATCATTGTGAATCCCAGTGTGAGGCACCCAACTCTATCCATGTGTTATATAGGAAGTCCAAGTGCCCCACTCAGGGCCAAGGCTTCTTCCCCAGGGGCCAGCTGCCTGCAAGTGAGGTGGTGTGATGCTGACTATCAGTGTTTAAGTATCCTGTGGATATAGCCCAACGAATCCATGCCATACCTACAGACTGAAGGTCTGTATCCTGGAAAGCAGCATCTCTGAAAAGGATTTAGCAATTATAGAGGGCAGGCAACTCGATGTAAATGCTTTGGGAGATGCTGGGTCATAAACAGCTAATGTGTTATGGTTGTGACCAAGAAGCAGCAAACAGGAACAGAGTGGTGAAATTTACCTCTGTATATCACATTGATCTGATCTGTACTGGGATATTATAGGTTTGAAAAACATGGTTACAGTGAGAGAGAATTGTGCTGAAAGAGCTCAGTCTGTCTAGTTGAGCAAAAAGATTATGAAATTAAGAAGTAATTTGATTACTAAATATATAAGTACTTAGAAGAGAGAGAGTTTCTGAGACTAGATGGCTCTTAAAACTAGTAGAAAAATGGCACAATGAGTCCCAATGGTTGGAACCTGAAACTAGCTAGAGTAGAAATAAGATGCATTTTTTAATACTGAGGTTAATTTTACCTACCTACCTCGGCAACCTACCTGAGGATGGGATGAATTTTTCTTCATCACTTACAAGTTTTTAGAAGAAAATGATTTCTTTCTGAAATATATGCCATAGCTCAAACAGCAATTGTGGATTTAATGCAAAAAATACTGTATGGCGTTTTATATTCTAACTGGGAGATCAAGCTAGATTGACATAATAGATCCTGATCTTAAAATATATATGAATCTAAGCCATTGGTTTCAGTCTCTGTCTCTCTCCCCCCCACCCACACACAGACAGATGGACTTACTAAAACAACACTGTATGGCATTCTATTCAAGAATGAAAAAAAATAAAAGCTACACAAATGTATTTAGATATGAAAAGAAAATGGTTAGAACTAGGACTGTCAAATGATTAAAAAAATCACAAGATTAAAAAAAATTGTTGCCATTAATCAGAATTTTAATCATGCAGTTAAATAATAATAGAATCCCAATTTATTATAAATATTTTGGATGTACACAAACCCTGGATGGCCTCCAAGACCTGGGTCCCCAACCCCTGGCCCCCCATGCACTTACCTCAATCCAGCTGCTGAATGCATGTGTGTGTGTGCATGTCCCAGCAGCAGTGAGGGGGGAGGGACTGCTTTTCCAGCACTAGCAGCGATTAACACGCGTTACAAAACTTAATGCAAAAACAAATTAACATGTTCATCACACGTTAACAGCGATTAATTGACAGCCCTAGTTAGAATTCATTTGTCATCATAAGAGATTATATATTTATACACTGTAGCAATACTTTACATTAAGTCTAGGGTACTTAGATTAATCATTTTGTCACCAATGTATGTTTATCAATATGTGTTTGTTTTTCTTCAGTGGCAGATATCTGAACAGATATTTATTTGAGATCTAGGCTGTGGGCTACTTCCACCATAACTTAATGGTATCTAGTTAGAAATATTTTTGGTTACCTATTTCCTTTCAAGGTTCCAAAGTTACAAAGTTTTCTTAAGATCTGTAAGGCTGAATGGATGGGTTGAATGTGCTAAAACTGCATGATAACGTAAGAATAAATTAGCCCAGGATCAGGTATAATTAAAGCACAGTTTTTTTTTAATCACTAATTTTATTTTGCTTCTTGGAAGGAACTCCTAGGGAAAAATAAAAAATTATTCTTAAAGCAGAAGTGTATAGATTATTTCGCAAAACATACTAAAGACAAAACAAACTGTTGTCTCCAAGAAGCTTACATGCTCAATATGCAAATGAGGCAATAACAGTTATTGCTGATGGTCTTTAAGGATACAGAGGTTTTGAAGAGAAAGGTGAGAATTGGCTTGGCATCTATTGATCAGCAGTCATGTCAAGCATAAGAATGGCTGAGAAGAAAGTTGAATATTGGCTGTGGGCAGAAGGGGCTAAGAGAATAGCAAAGATTGTAGGGGAGACAAGTATTTGGGTCCCAGAGCTATAAAGTTCTTTGAAAGTGAAAAGAGAAATGCTTGAAATGTTTGTACAATGCTGCTCCTCTGAAAATATCAAGTTAAAGGTAGGGGGCTGGCACTAAATTAAATAATAATATGCTGCACATACAATGCTAATGGCACTTTGTTATAAGAAATCTTAGAATCATAGAAAAATAGGTTTGGAAGGGACCTCAGGAGGTTATTTAGTCCAACCTCCTGCTCCAAGCAGGACCATCTCCAAATGTATCATCTCAGCCAAGGCTTTGACTAGTTGGGTCTTAAAAACCTCTAAGGATGGAGATTCCACAACCTCTATGGGTAACCTGTTCCAGGGTTTTTACTACCCTCCTAGTGAGAACGTTTTTCCTGATATTTAACCTAAACTTCCTTTACTGCAACTTGAGACCGTTGTTCCTTGTTCTGTCATCTGCCATCGCTGAGAACAGTCCAGCTCCATCCTCTTTCAAACCACGCTTCAGGCACTTGAAGGCTGCTATTAAATCCTCCCTCAATCTTCTCTTCTCTAGACTAAATAATCCCAGTTCCCTCAGCCTCTCCTCATAAAGCATACACCCCAGCTCCCTAACCATTTTCATTGTTCTCCGCTGGACTCTGTCCAACTGGTCCACATCCTTTCCATAGTGGGGGGCCTAAAACTTGACGCAGGACTCCAGATGTAGCCTCACCAGTGCTGAATAGAGGGGAATAATCATTTCCCTTGATCTGCTGGCAACACCCCTACCAGTGCAGCCCAGTATGCCGTTAGCCTTCTTGGTAACAAAGGCACACTGTTGGTTTATATTCATTTTCTTGTCCACTGTAACCCTCAGGTCCTTTTCTGGAGTGGCTGCCCAGCCAGTTAGCCCCTAGCCTGTATTGGTGCATGGGATTGTTCCATCCTAAGTGCTGGGCTTTGCACTTATCTTTGTTGAACCTCATGAGATTTATTTTGGTCCAATTCTCCAAATTGTTGAGGTCTCTGAATCCTAGCCCTACTCTCCAGGGTATCTACTACTTTCCCCGCCTCATGTCATCTGCAAACTTGCTGAGGGTATGCTCCATGCCATCTTCCAGGTCACTGATGAAGATATTGAACAAACCCCAGGGGCACTCCACTTGATACTGGCTGCCAACTAGACATTGAGCTATTGATTACTACCCTCTGAGCCTGATGATCCAGCCAGTTTTCTATCCACCTTATAGTCCATTTATCCAGCCCATACTTCTTTAGCTTGCCTGAGAGAATATTGTGGGAGACCATATTAAAAGCCTTGCTAAAATCAAGATATACCACATCCACTGGTTTCCCCACATCCACAGAGCCAGTCATCTCATCATGGAAGGCAATCAGGTTGGTCAGGCATGACTTGCCGTTGATGAATCCATGCTGACTTCCTAATCACCCTGTCCTCCAAGTGCTTAGAAATGGACTTCTTGAGGATCTGCTCCATGATTTTTCCAGGAACTGAGGTGAGGCTGGCCAGTCTGTAGTTCCCTGGATCCTCCTTTTTTTCCCTGTCTCAAATATGGGCACTATATTTGCCCTTTTCCAATCATCCAGGACCTCTCCAGATCACCATGATTTTTCAATGATGGCCAGTGGCTCTGCTGTCACATTGGCCAACTCCTTCAGCACCTTTGGCTCCATCCCATCCAGCCCCAGGGATTTGTATATGTCCAGCTTTTCTAAATAGTCCCTAACCTGTCCTTTTGCCACTGCTGGCTGCTCATCTGCTCCCCAGACTGGGCTGCCAGATGCACTAGTCTGGGAGCTGACCTTGCTTGTTAAGACTGAGGTGAAAAAGTCGTTGAGTATTTCAGCCTTTTCTTCATCTTCTGTTACTCGGTTGCCTCCCCTAGTCAGGAAGGGACCCACACTTGTCCCACTTCTCTTGTTACTGACAAGGTCACCCACTTCCCCACTGATCTCAGAGCTTTTGTTTCCACCCTCCAACGAACCTGGTTTAAAATCCACCTCACTAGGTTAGCGAGCCTGTCTACAAAGACACTTTTCCCTCTCTTTGTGAGGTGGATTCCATCTCTTCCCAGCAATCCTTCTTCTTGGAACAATATCCTGTGGTCAAAGAAGTCAAAGCCTTGCTGGTGACATCATCTGCACAGCCATGCATTGATCTGCAGGATGTGCCTACTACTGCCTGGGCCTTTTGCCTTGACCGGAAAAATAAAAAAGAACACTACCTGAGCCCCTGTCCCCTTCACCCTTGCACCCAGAGCCCTGTAGTCACTTTTGATCTGCTCAGGGTCTTCCCTGGCAATATCATTGGTGCCCACATGAATAAGCAGCATGGGGTAGTAGTCAGAGGGCCAGATGAATCTTGGTAATCCCTCCAGTATGATCTGGGTTCTGAGCAAGCAGCAGATCTCCCAAGATAACAGGTCAGGCCAACATATAGATGCCTCCATCCCAACACAGAAGGGAGTCTCCAACCTGTATCAGCGCTGTGCCTGGGGGCACTGGCATAAAGTAACCTACTCAAATTTGGGGAAAGAGAAAATTTTCCAAACACACGATACAGTCAGTGATTTAAAGAGAAATACTGATGAAAATATCATTCAATGACTTTAGCCTATTTATTTCAATTAAAATGAGTGCACAATCATTTTCAAACATTATAAAAAAAGCACTGTTAGTTTCCTGAGGTGCCATGTGAATGTTTTCATAGGCTTGAGTCCATGCTGCTTTTTTGCCTTCCTACCACTCTTTTAATCAGATGATAGAGTGCTACTGCAGGGATGCATATGGAAGGAAGGGCTGCCAACAGCGCACAAATGGCCACCACCCAGCCTGGGTAGAGTTTCTCCTCCTTTGCAGGGAAATCTTTCTGTGAAGTTAGAAACAATAAGTGAGATATGTCATCCTATAGCTTTACATTACAGACTCTTTACATCTTCTCTGTCTAATGCTAGACCTATGAGTTCCAATGACACTAACTACACCCACTCATTGAAACTAGTACCCAATAAGTTTTCACATATAAACTTTATTGCAAACAAATATTAAAAACACAAGACACTATAAAATTGAAATGAGCCATAAAAATGTTCCACGCATAACATAGTACATTTTTATGGCTGGTTTATACAACTCCTGAAATTGAACATGTGGCTACGGCCAACAATTAACTGACTGTCAGCCTGGTCTGAGTTTGGGTGGGGCGGGGGAAGCCAAAGGGCTTCTTCCACCAGGGATTTTAAACCTTGTTTCCAGCAGCTCTGGCCAAGCTTCTGGGCATGGGGGATTAGAGGAGCCCAGGGGCTTCTTTGCTTGGAGACTTTGACCCTGGGTGCTCAGCAGCTGGGCCAGAGTTGTCAGGTGACCCCACTGAAAGCCTCTTACTCCTACACCCAGCAGCCTAGCCAGAGCCCCCAAATGGAGGTTTTAAACTTTCTGGCAGGGGTAACCGTTGGAGTCCCCCTGCCTGGAGCCTCTGATCCTCTGTGCCCAGCAACCTGTCCAGAGCTTTCAGGAACAGGGTTTTGACAGTCAGCTGACTATCCTGACAGCCCCAGGTGAACCAGGGTTAGGACTGTTCAAGATTGGGGTTGACAATCAGTTGATTGTCACCCCCAGTCCACAGAGAGCCCAAGGTCTCAAACCAGACTGACAGTCAGCTGATGGTCCAGTGCGCAGGGCTGTGACACCTGGCTCTGACTTTGCTCTCCCTGGGCATCCCTGGCATTGGCAAGTCATAATGGCACAATTAGGATCTGATCCCCAACCCCAAAATCATGTCTTTTTGCCATACATGTGTGGGCTGGTAGGAGGTGCATTTGTTGGGATTAGGGTTTAGATCGCATTGCAACATTAAATGAAAGTGTACCAGGGGCCTATGAAGTGCTTCCCTTTCCTACTTCTCATGGCAAATAACTCCTCAAATGAGAGCAGAGGCAGGGCCAAGCATGCAGCCCCCACATTGCCCCAAGAATTTGCAGGCTGGATGAGAGAAGCTGCATGAGGGGGCAGGATTCTCTATTATCTGTCATGCTCTCTGTGCAGTGAGGAATTCAGGGATGTAATCCTTCTAGGTAATGCAGCTCTTTACTATTCCTTTCAAAGGGCCTGTCTACACCAGAGAGCTAAGTTGTTCATATGTGAACAGATTCTCTTGGACACACTGAGGACCAAATGATTCCAGGCATTCACACTAGCCACCAATTTAGCAAAAAGAAAATGACAAGTAGGTTTGCTAAAACTACAATTTTTGGCAAATATCCCAGTCATCCAAAAATGTAGCTCATCTCTAGGTCTGTCTTTGATTGGATACATGGCTATGATGATATTACTGGTATCTTACAAATTGCTTTGTCCCTGTTGTGTGATCTTCAGCTACTGATTTAAACCCTGGTTTCATAGTTGTTAGGGGCTGGAAGGGACCTTACAGATCATTGCATCTGGCCTCCTTGCATTTGGGCAGGAAAGACTGCTGGGATCAGATGACCCCAACATGCCTTTTGAAGATCACCAGGGTGGATGAGTGTACCACCTCTGAGGGGAGCCTGTTCCAAACCCTCAGCCCTCAACTTGTAAGGAAAAACTTCTTTATGTGTAGCCTGAAGTGATCCTCAATCAGCTTGTGTCCATTATTTCTTGTCCTCCCTGGGGGGCCTTGGTGAACAGACATTCCCCCAGGCCCTGATGTATGTCCTTGATATAATTATAGGTTCCTACCAAGTCCCCTCTGAGTCTTCTCTTCTCCAGGCTGAACAGTTCCACGTCTTTCAGCCTCTCCTCATATTACCTGGTCTCTAGGCCTCTAATCATGTGCATGGCCCCCCTTTGGAGTCTCTTAAGCTTCTTAACATCCTTCCTGAAGTGTGGCACCCAGAACTGGACGCAAAACTCCAGCTATGGTCTCACCAAGGCCGAGTAGAGAGGGAGGATGACATCCTTAGCCTTGCTCAAGATGCCTTGGTAGATGCATGCCATTGTTTGATTAGCTCTGCCAGCTACGGCATCACATTGCTGGCTCACATTCATTTTGTTGTCTATCACGACACCCAGGTCTCGTTCCAATGTGGTGCTAGCAAGCGTAGCACTGACAAGCCTATAAGTATGTTGTAGATTATTTCTCCCCAGATGGAGCACTTTACATTTCTCTGTATTAAACAACATCTGGTTGAGGTCCACCCACCTTGCAAGCCTGTCCAGGTCAGCCTGTATCGCTGGCCTGCCTTTGAACATGACCACACTGTGCCATAGTTTGGTGTCATCAGGGAACTTAGTTAGTTCACTTTTAATACCCGAATCCAAATCATTGATAAACATGTTGAAAAGCACTGGTCTGAGGACTGAACCCTGAGGGATACCACGGATCACCCTTCACCATGATGACTTAGTTCCATCAGTCAATACTCTCTGGCCCCTACCATGGAGCCAGTTACCTAGCCAGCAGACCGCAAAGCAGTTGAGGCCACATTTTCCCAATTTTTTCATGAGGACTTCATTGCTGCCTTCTGCTAGCAATTGCTCTGTTATTTTTCTGTAGTTGAAAAATGAGAGATATAAGAGCTGGCATTTTTCGAGGAGTGCCTCGAGCTAAATGAGAGGGGCCTCAAGTCAAACAAGGGGTGCCTTGAGTCTAAAAAGGTGAGAACCACTGCTTTAGATGTGCAGGAAACTGGAAACATTTCAAGGAAGGTACCACAGAAACCCTGGATGTAAAGCTTCCTTGAGGTCTAAAGAAAATATTGCTACCAGAATATGTTTGCTTTTGTAACAACAAGTATCAGGTCTACAGGCTCCATTTGAGCAGTTGCCAAAGTCCTCTGGGAGTGGTTTATTATAGGGTTGTCTGTACACAAATTGTACCATTTATACTATTACAGTTAAGTATTATAAATTTAGTTTTACTGGTATGTGACACCTTTATACTGGAATAGCTGCATTCACACTAGGATCTGTGCCAATTTAACTATTTTGGTAAAGTAAACCAGCTCCCTATCCCAAATCATTAAAGTTGCTACAAAATCCTGGGCCTAGATTAGACCTGACCTCCCAGCAGTTACAGCTCCACAAATCCAGTGAAGGCCAATCAGTTGGTCAGGTAGAAATGAGAAGATAATCTGAAGATCAGCTTTCAGTAGCATTTTTGCCTGCTGATCTATTTTTAATGGTGATGCTATGTAAAAGGGGAGGAACCTTGCTTAACTCCTGGGGTGCGCCTTCACTGCAGTGGGCTCAGAGGATCAGCACTTGGATTAATTTGGCCTACGTGGATAAGCCACATGCAAGTTCTAGTGTCATGACTGGTAATTCACTCACTTGGTTGTTTCACTAGAGCTTTAGAAGGAATATCCCATAGTTTTTTTCTGCTCAAGGAAGCTGAGCCAACCAGTGATTCTTACCCAGTGCGTTGTGGGAGAACTTGTTTGTCCTTTTGGGCACATGGGGGAATTGTGGGAAGGCACTGCAGGATTATCAGCACTTGAATGATTCAGTTTACGTCCTCACTGCAACACTGGTGGGTTATCAGCTCAAAAATAAGCAATCCTGTGTTTAATGGGCCACTAAACTTGGCTGAAAGGCTGGTGTGATGGACAGTAGGATGGAGGGTTGGGAGAAACACCTGCCTAAGAGACTGGTAACTCTGCAGTGAAGGCATACCTCTATGTCTTAGGATGAGATCACAAAAGAAACATCCAGTTTAGCTTATATTCCAAATCTGCTCAGTTGTAACTACTGAAAGACAACAAACACAGAAATCTGCCCTGACACCTTTATAGGCACATTTTTTGAGACAATATCCTCAAATACTTAGGGATTTTGTACTAGGTTTTGGGGGCTTTTTTTTTGTAATAGTATTGTTATTTTCATTTAGTAGTCTTTAAGGTAACTAGGTTACAGTATGACAGAAAGGCTGCAGTTATTAGTAGATATGCAAAGCATAATGATTTGCTTTGTAAATAGAAAGAACAACAACTGAAAAATTGTAGGTTGAGAATGCTGCCCCAAGAATGATTTGTGGATGAAGAACATTCCTTACAGGGAGGCAATTAAGGAACTCAGTCTATTTTGAAGGGGAAGAGGTGACTTGATCACAGTCTATAAGTACCTATGTGGAACAGAAATTTGAGTCTAACAAAGATATAACAAGATCTGATAGATCAAAGAAGACACAGACTCAAAGTAAGGCACATTTTTAACAATGAAAATAAATCACCGTAATGACTTATGAAAGGTTGTAGTGAAGTTTCTACGACTGGCCATTTTTAAAATCAAGATGGGATATTTTTCTAAATGTTTACCTGCTTTAGTTCAAACAGGAATAGATTCAGGGAAGTTCTGTGACACGTGTTGTACAGGAGGTCAGACTAGATGACCAAATGGTCTCTTTTGGCCTTATAACCTGTGACTCTAAGGGATATTTAGACACTCATATCTCATTGAAATTAAATGAGAGATGGGTATTTAAATTCCTTTCAATTCCTTTGAAAATTTCAACTTCTCATTGTAGCAATCTCTTACTATCACATGTCAAGGCACCTCCTTTTGGAATGTCTCAGAGAAATTGTATGCTGAATGAACCTGTGCATTACTAGCTCAGTCCTGAGAAATCCAATGTGTGTATAAAACCTCATGGGAAAAAATGCTCTGTTCAGAACTATTAATGGAGAAGATACGGCAGCACTTGCAACTCATACCTTTGAGCATAATGAGACAATTTTTCCACACAGTGAGATATTTTTGGAAACCAAAAGCATGCAATCCTGGTAGGACTTTAGAGCTTCAGGCTCCTTTATATTGGAGAGAGCTGGGTGCATACAATTTTGGAAACTTAGGAAGAGAAGGAGACTCTAACACTGATTCTTTGTAAATAAATAGATTGAAAATATTAGAGAACATACATATTCTGGGTTCCAGGCACTGTAGGTTGGTTGTTTCTGTACTTGAACACTAACAAAGGCCAGAAAAACAGTTAGCATGAGTAGAGGGCTGATGATCTTCCACATCACCTTCCAGTACAAGTTTGGTTGTCGTCCTGTCATCCACTTAATATTATCACTGAACCTGTGAGACAAACAAAGTTTACAGTTGTTTTCATATCCACAAGGCTGCTATTTCTCTCTCTCTTTTATTGATTTAAAAAAATACATTTTCCAAGCCTCTAAATTTGTCTGCTGCATATTAAGAACTCATAGGATAATAGAAAATTAGGGTTGGAAGTGACCTCAAGAGGTCATCTAGTCCAACCCCCTGCCCAAAGCAGGACCCTTCCCAGCTAGATCATCTCAGCCAAGGCCCTGTCTAGCCTGGTCATAAAAGTCTCCAGGGATGGAGACTCCATAGCCTCTCCAGGTAACCTGTTGCAATGTTTTACTAATATCTAACCTAAACTTCCCTTGCTGCAACTTGGGATTGTTGCTCCTTGTTGTCATCTGCCAGGACTGAGAACAGTCTAGCTCCATCCTTTGTCAAACCCCCATTCAGGTACTTGAAGGCTGCTGTTAAATCCCCTCTCAGTCTCCTCTTCTCTAGACTAAATAAGCCCAGTTCCCTCAGTCTTTCCTCATGTCATGTGCCCCAGCCGCCGAACCATTTTCATTGCCCTCTGCTGGACTCTCTCCAACTTGTCCATATCCTTTCTGTAGTGGGGGGGAAGGGGGAGGCGGGGGTCCAAAACTACACAGTACTCCAGATGTGACCTCACCGGTGCAGAATAGAGGGGAATAATCATTTCCCTTGATCAGCTGGCAACATTCCTACCAATGCAGCCCAGTATGCCATTAGCCTTCTTGGCAACAAGGGCACACTGTTGGCTCATATTCAGCTTATTCTCCACTGTAACCTCCAGGTTTTTTTCTGCAGAGCTGCTGCTCAGCCAGTCAGTCCCCAGGCTGTAGCAGTGCTGGAATTATTCAGTCCTAAGTGCAGGACTTTGCACTTGTCCTTATTAAGCCTCATAAGATTTATTTTGCTCCAATCCTCCAATTTGTTGAGGTCTCTGCAAGTGTCCACTCATATTCATACCTTCTTACAAATTTATCCTAAATTTATTTAAATAACAACAGCCTTAGGTTAGATCTAAGGATACAGCTGATGTATACCAGCTGCATATTTGATCACCTAATACAAGCAACCAATGCCATTGAGTAAAACTATAAAACAACACAAATGTTAAAAAGGGTGGAAATTACAAGCTAGCTGTTGTAATGAAGAGCCATGAACAGTACAGAAGGGTGCACTTGCCTGAGAAGTGATCCCAGACAGTGTGATTTTTTTTCCTTTCCTCTTCCTAAGAGGCTTGAGATGCACAGTAGCATTAGGCTACTGTTCAGTAGCATCTCATGTAGATGCTTTGAATTAATTGCACATGTAGATGCACCCAGTCTGAGTATTTGGATGCTGCCCTGAGGAGAGTAGCTGGTGATGACTGTAAAATTTTTAACAAGCAGAATTGTACACTATAACCTTAAATACCCAATATACAACAGCATGAAGGCACTCCCTATCCACATGGTAATAAGGATTTCCTCAACTAAGTGACCATTTGGCCTTGGCGCTTCATATTGTGTCTAGGTTTAGGCCCCCCTCATCTTTCCCCCAAAAAATCTTAAGCATCCTTAATGAATATTGTATATGCCCATTGACAAATGGAACAGATAGGAAACTATAAAAATTACTCACTTTCATAATCATGGTGATAAGTACTTCAAGGATCAATATAATACATCCATGTTTTTCTCCATGTGATATTCAGAAAGATACAGGAATTTTAAAAAATCCAAACTTTTTTCAAACATACCTTTTAATCCCATAGACATATGCCACAGCAGTTACTTCAAAAAAAGCAATGATGAGTAGAGGCAAGGAACCTGCATAACTGTCAAAAACATGGAGCCAGTAACTCCCAGATCTCAGAGTAAAGCACAGAGCTGATGCAAAGGAAATCAGGCATATCACTCCTGAAGAAAAATAAATACTTTTATTACCAAAGTACTGAATTTAAATGATATGACTAATATTTTTGCTCTTTTACTACTTTGATTTACCTCTGTCTACACAGCTTCAGTTTTTCTTTTCACCGAAGGAAAGCCCTTCCTCACTAATTGCATGCCTGAGGTGGGTTGCCTCATATCATAATAGCTCACATTTCTTTTGAGTTCAGTTTCAGAATAACACCCTTATTATATCACAGATAATTTGTAATGTGTCAGTTTCTGAGCACATAAGGATATCATCTAGGTGCAACAGAAGACTAGAAGAGAGACATGATAGGCAATACTCATTCCATGAGCTTTTCAAAGATAGAAAGGGCATTATGAAAACCAAAAGACATTCCTTTAAGTTATCACAGGCTTCAGATTATTTTATAGCAGGATTTCTCCTGTCCTTGGGATCCATTTCCATTTGCCAATACCATCTTTAAGTTCCAGTCAGAAAAGCCAAATTGAAGCAATGCTCAATTTCAGGGAACAACTCTTCCAGTAATTGGATGGGGAATTGGCTCTGAGGTCAGACCCAGAGAGTGGTAATAGATGGAAGTAAATCATCATGGTGCACTGTGACCAGTGGGGTCCCGCAAGGCTCCATCCTTGGGCCTATACTGTTTAACATCTTTATTAATGATGTAGACATTGGTGTCAGAAGCGAACTGGCCAAGTTCGCCAGTGACACGAAACTTTGGGGTAAAGCGTCCACACCTGAGGATAGGCTGGCGATCCAGGCCAACTTCAACAGGCTCAGAAAATGCGTGGATGATAACTTGATGACATTCAACACCGAAAAATGCAAGGTACTCCACCTTGGGGGAAAAAACCTCACAGCACGCTTATAGGCTCGGTAGTGCTACACTTGCTAGCGTCATGGCCGAAAGGGACTTGGGGGTCACGATTGACCACAAGATGAATTGAGCTACCAATCCGATGTTACAACTGGTAAAGTGAGCAAAACTCTGGCTTGTATCCATAGACACTTCTCAAGCAAATCCCAGGATGTCATCCTCCTTCTGTACTTGGTCTTGGTGAGGCCACAGCTGGAGTGCTGCATCCAATTCTGGGCTCCACAATTTAAAAAGGATGTGGAGAAGCTTGAGAAAGTGTAGAAGAGAGCCACACGCATGATCAGAGGTCAGGAAAACAGGCCCTATGATGAGAGGTGGAGAGCCATGGGACTATCCAGCCTGGAAAAGCGCAGGCTCAGGGGGGACCTGGTGGCTGCCTATAAGCATATAAGGAGAGTACATCAGGATCTGGGGGAACGCCTGTTCACCAGAGCGCCCCAAGGGATGACAAGATTGAACGATCACAAACTCCTCCAGATCATTTCAGGCTGGACATAAGGAAAAACTTCTTTACTGTCAGAGCCCACAAGGCCTGAAATAGACTCTCTCCAGAGGTGGTGCAAGCACCTACTTTGGACTCTTTTAAGAAACATTTGGACATTTATCTTGCTGGGATCCTTTGACCCTAGCTGACTTCCTGCCCCAGGGCAGGGGGCTGGACTCTATGATCTTCCGAGGTCCCTTTTAGCCGTAATGTCTATGAAATCTATGATTCTCATTAGAAAAATTAAGTTGGTTGTAACATTTCCCACAAAATGAAACTCATACCAAGACTAGCAGCATTTTTTCAAGGCTCAACTGTGCTCACAAGTTAAGGAAAAGATCTTGAAGGATTTGGATAAGATTGCAGTCGGGCAACTCCTGATATAACCATGCTATCTAATTGGTATGAAGACACTTAAGAAAGTAAATTAAGCAGTTCCAATACCGTTACATGCTGAGCCAATCTATTGTTTGCATTGTGAACAAATATTTTAGATAACTAATCCCCCCCCCAAAACAATATGTATTAAATAGGTAAGCATTAATGAGTTTCTGGGAGAAAAGCAAAGAAAACAAAAACAGTTGTCTTACCAGATATAGCTTCTTTGGGCACAGATTTAGGTATAAGATTAAGCTCCATCAGAGGAGTAAAGACTCCTTCAATATTTCCAAACATAGAAGAAAGACCCAGACTGAACAACATTACAAAAAACAGAATAGCCCAGACCTGCGACCCAGGCATCAGAATAATTGCTTCAGTGAAAACAATGAAGGCCAAGCCAGTTCCAGATGCGCTCTGTGGAATTGACAAATAGATAATACGGCATCTTAGCACTTAGATTTATTTTACAAACATGTTGCACATATATGTGCACATACGGTACATTCAAATTCTGAGCCATGAGGTCAAAATTTGGGATTGGATTTTTTTTAAAAGATACATTCTAGTTCAAGCACAGCTATGGAACTCAAAGCAGGAACTGATTAGGGGAAGTCCTATGCCAGGTAATGTGCAGGAGGTTGGACTAGATTATTACAGTCATCTCATCTGGACATAAAATCTATGAATTGAGGAGATGAGTACCTAAATTCAGCCCCCTAAATAAATCCCTTGCTTTGCAGATGCTTTACATAATGAGTAGCTCTTCTGAACTTTCTGTGGAATACAGCTTTCATGTCACTCATCTCTCTTGCAACCCTTCACTGGCTCCCCCTTCTGTAGTGCAGTGGTTTTCAACCTGTGGTCTGCAGATCTGTGAAAGATGACTATGATCAATGAAAACTATGTGAATACCAGAGATCCTGGTTTTCCCTGATAAAAAATATGCCAAATTCTGATTAAAAACCCCAAATCCGTGATTAAAATGAAAGGGTAGGTATCAGTTGAACACAATGTTTTGTTGCTATATTTACAGCTGCAAAGCACTTTGGAAGCTTACCAGTGCCTCAATCACTATAATAAAATAAATTCTAAATGCAGGTTTCCCTTGCTTTATGCAGTACGTGCATTCCTGAAAACCTGCGCATAACTCAAATTCTCATAAAGGGAACCCACTTTACAAGATAACAAATAGGGATATGTTCCAAGACCTTGATTGCATCAGCAGCAGTAACTGCTGGGCCAAGGAGGCACTGGGCACTTTCCGGAGGGGGTGGGGCTGGGCGGGGCTGCACTTAGGGAAGACAGCAGCGGGTCTGGGAAGGGAACTATGGGGAGACTGCAGCCACCCCAAAATTTGCCATAGTGTCCCCTGCAACTCCCCTGCCAGCGCCACCACCACCCGCCCTGAGTGCAACGCCACTTAACCCCCTGCCAGGAAGAGCCTGGCCCCAGAGTCTGGGCTGGATGGGGCCTCAATCTGGCCCCCCACTGGTGGTGAGGGAAGGTGTGGGACTGGGACAGAGGCAGGTGCTGCACAGCTGGGGAGGGGCATGGGATGGGGGGTGCAGCTCCTGCTGTTACAGGCTGCTGCTGTGGGCAGGGGCTGGGGGCAGCACTGGGCTCTTCCTGGCAGGGTGGGGGTTGGGCTGCACTGCGCTTGGGGCAGGCAGCGGCAGTGCTGGAAGGGGGGCTGGAAGAGCTACAGTGAATTTTGGGGTGGTTGAAGCCCCCCCCATGTACCTTCCCTCCCAGTGCCACCGCCACCTGCCCTGAGCAAAGCGTGGCCCATCCCCCTGCCAGGAAGAGCCCAGTGCATCCCCTGGCCCCAGCCCACAGCAGCAGCCCATGGCAGCAAGAGCTGTGCCCCACATCCCACACCCCGCCCCAGCTGTGCAGCGCCTGCCTCTGCCCCAGCCCCACTCCCTTCCCCTCCCAGTACCTGGGGAGTCAGATGTCAGGCAGGTTATAATGTGTCATAAATCCAATGTCTATATTTAGTCCATGATTTTTAGTATCCAGGAGGTTGATGAAGTGGACCTGCCAACACATCTCCACCACCCCCATAATTACTACACCCCACAACAGAGCCATCAGCATTCCTGGATCTTACAGCTGCACCTCCAGAAACGTAATACATCTCATCCAATGCACCAAACGCCCTGATGGAAAATACATAGGAGAGCCCAAACAACAACTGTGCACCAGAATTAATACCCACCGGAAATCTATCCAAGACAGGAATGCCCAATTACCTGTGGGGGCACATTTCTCACAAGAAAACCACTCTCTCTCCAATTTCTCAGTCCTGATCCTCAAAGAAAACTTACAGAACACTTCCCAGAGATGAGCCTATGAACTCCACTTCAACCTCCTGGACACTAAAAATCATGGACTAAATATAGACATTGGATTTATGACACATAACCTGTCTGACATCTGACTACCCAGGTATCTCTTCACTATTCATCCCCCTTCTCTCCCCTCCCACCAGCCTGTCTCTCATCCATTGACTCCTCAATCTACATTTTCCCTGACTACCTGTCTTGTATGCACACCAGCCCAGACTCTGGCTTCTTTACTTTTCATTCCATCCAGGAAGAGCACGCACCAACTGCAGAAACTTCCTTAGCCTGACGAAGGGTTTTTGAACCCGAAAGCTTGCTTAAAAATTGTTTTCCAACTATTTAAGTTGGTCTAATAAAATGTATCAGATTCACCCAAAGAACCTTGTCTGCAAGACTTAAATATAGTCTGGATGTGAAAACCTAGAGAGACAGATACCTGGAGTCAAAGAAGAGACCCAAGTGATGCAGTTAACTGGCAGCGGGATGGTGTTCACCATGAAAGAGGCAGGGGGTTGCATGAGGGCTTTTGGGGTGGGAGGATGGATTTGAAAGCCCTGTTTTTAGCTTGCAGAGATGGTTAGACAACCATAAAGGATGTCAGAAAAACAGTTTTAGCTTGGACAGGTCTGAAGTAGAAAAGTAGATCTGTGGGCCATACACATGGTGATGGTAGCTGAATTTGTGTTGCTAAATGAAGTTACTCAAACAGGACATGCAGAGGGAGAAGAGGAGTCCTAGGATCAATGCCAGCGGGCTGGCAGGTCCAGGAGGAGGAGGAGGATGTGCTGGTTCTGAGCTCTGGTCTGAGATTGGAGACCTTGGCAAGAGCAGTTTTGATTGAGTGCTAGGGACTGAAGCCAGATAGAAGAGAATCTGTGGTGGAACTGGCAGAAAGGGACTCCAGGAACCAAATGTAAGCAGTGTATCAAATGACCTTAGTGGTGAAAGTGATAACAGAGAGGGGGCAAAACTGAATAGGCAGGTGGGTTCAAGGGATGTTGTGATTTGAGACAGGACAGAGGAGAGTAGAATTGTGCTGTGAGCGGGGAGAGCCACAACAGAGAAAGAGGACAAGAGCAGGAATAAGGAAAGAATTGAATGTTAGTACAAGGCCAATCAGGAGATGGGATGGGATAAGATTTTTGTCAATTCTCTCCCAGAAGAAACTGGTGAGCTACTGTGCAGACAGCAGTAGAGGCAGGAGTGAGGGAGGGGGTGTTCCTCTCTGCCTGACCCCCAGCTGTGTGCTCAAGGAGGTTTAGCAAGCCTCACTTCAGTGCTGCTGTGCCAGTGAATATCAGGAGGCTCAATCAAGTGTCCATGGTAGCCTCCAAGTAGGAAAATCCCAATAGTGTTTAAGCAGGGGGAATAGTACTTAGTGTTAGAGCCACGCTAAGAAGCCTTTTTTTATGAGCTAATTCAGAGTGCTTTGAACTCAAGCCATTTCATAGCAGTACTGGTGTTGGAAGTGTAGAAACAAACCAAAATGTGATTGGTTTGGTAAGCATCTAGAGTATTCTTAACATATGATTTCCAAGTGTAGTAAATCATTATGCTTTCTAAATCTTTCTTTCAAAAGTATCTCAAGTCCTTAACATTTCTGTGTCAGAGCCATTCTGTAGGAAGGAAGTAGGGTACCTGATCGAGAAATTCTTGAAGGTTGCACCTTTTCAATTTGAGACTAGCAATTTTATCTGGATATTCTGAGTTCAGGTATTCAAACCAGGTTGTATAGTTGTCTCTCAGGATGCTTTGCTCCGGAAGATCAAATGCATTGATGATGCTAAGGATGTTCCTGTTGGAGAAGTCATCTCATTTAAGCATTTTGTATTGAGTTTACAGGAATTGTTTTTGATATATTTAGTTTATAGCTATGTTACAAACTGAGATTACAGACTCATTTGTCACGGATCATTATCGACTGCAGACTGATTTGGCAACATTCAGAACTATAGATGTTTATGGTGCAGCATGCATTCTTTCAAATATTAGTAAGGAATTGTATTCCATTTTATGTAATATAGGTTATAAAACAAATGCAAATTGTTAAGTGAGAATATTGATATAAAAATTGCTAGGAGAGAAATATTGGACTTAACTATATAATACCATCTGCTGACTCCTTCATGCAGATGCCACATGGACAGCTAGCCTAGGTAAAACACATGCTCATATACTTGCTATCTCATTTTTTCTCCCTCACTCTCACCTGCTGTCTTGTCACTAACCTGCACAGTAAGCCCATTTGGGCAGAAAAAGTAACTATTTGTTTGCCCATCACTTAGTACAGTTTAGCACTGAACTCTGAAAGGAGCTTCTAGGTGTAACTAATTAAAAAATGATGACGATGATGATGAATTATTTTAGTATTTGTTTGTTTTGCCTCTAATAATTATGGATTGTTCAATACTGCTTTATTATCTTTATGCCATAAACATTTTTATATTCAGCTTCCTCTCTCTATATAATTATATATATATGTGTGTGTGTGCGCACGCGCGCAGATATACACATATAAATATTATGTTTCTACTGAAGAGGAACAGCTCATATACATCTATATCTATATCATTTGTTCCCATTCAGTAGAAATTTAATGGTATGTTTATGTTTCTGCAATACCCATATTATCAATCTAAACATTTAGGCAGCAAAACAGCATCTGAAAAACCAAGTGTCTCACCTGTCCAGGCAGTCCCAGTAACTAGTAGTTGCTTTAAACCCCAAAACAGAAAAAATTGGGATGGAAGCATACAGTGATGTTATGCTGTTTACAACAGCTACTGTCACAGCATCCTTTTCACAGTCATTTCTAGAAAAAGAATTAAATGGACTATATTCACAAAGCAAGGCAGTGGTTATTCCGCATATATTTATTAGCAATGCAGTTTGTTTTTAATCATTATCCTACAGTTTAATCCATAAATCTCACAGGTGTAACAAGGCAGCCAGGCACCCAGGGGACTGGGATGTGTGGGGCAAGTGGTGGTTTTCAGATACCAGAGGCATGATTGTTTGGCTATTGTGGAATATTAGAACTGGGCCAAGCGCAGATGTTGAAGTTAAGAAAAGTGGCCAGGATGTAACAGCTCAGAAGGGGAGACTGACCTGGGTTGTATATTGAGATGCTTCAGCTTTGAAAAAAGAGTCTTGGGACATTAAAGTTTTGAGGAAGACATAGCGGGCCTGCATGTTGATAGGGGACACTATATCCTCCTACAGTTTGGCCTCTTTAGTCTATGAGAGATGAGCACCTCATAAGGCTGGAGTGGCTGACAAGTTTCACAAGTGAGATTTGGGGTGGCTGCAAGAGGGAAGGGAAGCTATGGACACCCACATTCTGCAGAAGGCTATGGGTGCCCTGTTTTGTGATGGGAATAGCTTCAAAAAGGGTGAGAAGTAGTAAATAAATAGGTTACTCTTGTTGTAGGGATGAAGGGCTGCTTGTTACAGAGTGGTGATAGCAGTGGAATCTGGGAAACCCTGTTCCATACACCCACATAAACAAGAAGAAACAGGGGCTGCATTCTTTCCAGTAACAGTCACCAATGTCTATATTCCTATCCACACAAGGCAGCAAGATGTGTAGAAAAAATTTAGTAATTGACTTCCATTTAGGATCAAAAGCTGGCTCCACTTGAAACTATAGAAAAACTTTTCCAGAATTCATGAACAAGATTTGTTCCTCACTAACTGAGCTTTACACTCTGCTTAAGTTGCATATATATTTCTGTTTTAGTAGGGGGCTTTCTTTTTTTGTAAAATTTTCTCAAAAATTTACTTTTTCCTGAAGTGTGGTATGCTTGCTCTCATATAGTACATTTTTGTGAAAATTTCTCCTACATTGCTGGGGATCTTTTCAGCTACAAGAAGAATGAAAACAACCAGCATTTCTTCCTAAATAATTTATTACAACTTTATCTGAAAGGTGGCTGGGCCTTAACAGAGGCCATGATATATTTGTAAACTAGCTTCTAGGTCATGAATTACCTTTCATGCTCTTGGTACAGCTCAGTATTGAGTTAACCACTTCATATTTTCAGTGCACTGTTATATAACACGTTAAATAATTAGGAGCATAGAAAAATCCTCTAGTCTAGCCAGCCCTCTGCTCAAGGCAGAACTGTCTCAGCTAAGTGTCTGTAGTGTCCAACCTGCTCTTGACAATTTCTAAGGATGGAGATTCCACAACTTCTCTAGGTAGCCTGTTCCAATGCGTGATCACCCTCAGAGTCAGAAAGTTCCTCCTAATCTCCAGTGTAAATTTCTCCTACTGTGGCTTGAAGCTGTTGCTGCTAGTCCTGTCTTTTGTGGCCACAGAGAAAAGCCCATCTCCATTCTCTCTATAATTGTCCTTTAAGTATTTGAAGGCAGTTATAAAATCCCTCCACAGTCTTCATCAAATTCTAAGAAGCAAAGATGGCTGAGGAAAAGTCCAAGTGTCTATGAGAAGCCATATTCGGTATATCCTTGCAAATGCTCAAGATTTAGATGAGGGGCATATTATCTTTCAAGGTTTAAAATAGGTCATTTTAATTTCCATCACCGAATCCACTGGCACTCAACCTTCTGGCCCTGCAGGTTGGATGCATGACTTGGAGTTGATCCGTGGGCCAGATCTAACATGGGGATTACACCAGGGTTGGTCTACAGACATGGGCCCACCCGCTGGCCCAGCCCCCTGTGCCAGATCTGGCTGCAAGACAGCTCTATTTGCTGGGCTGGCCCTGTGCATTGGGCCATGTTATCTGGCCTTCAGGGCTTTCCATGGGTCCAAAAATTTGACAGCAAGGGAACAGGGCAGCATTAATTGCCAGGGCAATTAATGCTGTCACTGCTTCCCCACTGCCAAATTTCCAGACCTGTAAGAAGACCCACAGGACAGCTGGCGTGGCTCTGTGGACCAGAGGTTGAGTACCACTGACCTAATCCACTTGAAATACAGATTTACAGTCTGGACATAATTTGGCCATTGCAAATGTTTGCAAGTATCTTACCCAAATACTAGTTTTGACAGCTTAAAAATCTATATATTTTCCATGTTTCTGGTTGCCCTCCCTCCTTCTGCTATATGTGTCAGGATGTTTTTAAGCCTTCTTCAGAGGCACTGAGTCAAGGCTGGGGATTTTTCCTGGGGTGTGCCAGTATTCCTGTTGGGACTTAAAGCCAGAGGTTCTTGGCTAAAGGGTCTTGCCCCTCCATGCAGGGTCAGACTAATCACCATATTTGGGTTCAGGAGGGAATTTTACCCCATAGACAAATCGGTAGGGACTGGGGGGAGGGGGGTAGCCTTCCTCTTTTCCAGGGGCCATGGCCTTCTACCTGGGATCTCTTGAGTGTATATTAACAACCTTTTATAGAAGCAGGGCAATGGCTGCCATGGTTCTTCTGCTTTAGTTGTGGCTGGTTAGGATGTTATGTCTTATGTTGTGTCAGGGTTGACAGTAGTTTTACTAAGAGGTTAGATTATGGATTTGTAGAGGGTGGTTTGGGTAGAGATGATCTGGCCTCAGTCAGGGGGGGTGGATTAGATGACCTCTGGAGGTCCCTTACATCCCTATTTCTTTGATCTCTGTGAACTATAATCTCTATAAAAGACTACAACAACCAGGGAAGATAACCTATCAGAGGTATAGGTGTACTTACTTTGGTGGGTTGTAGCTTGCGAATGCTATGAGTCCTCCAAAAGCCAGAGAGAGAGAGAAGAAAATCTGGGTGGCTGCATCAAGCCACACCCGGGGATTTTTTAAAATGTTAAGCTGAAACAGTTGAAGCACACATACATGTTAGACTTGTAATTTGCTATTGTCATTTTCCCCTTATTCTCCGAGGTCATTCTATGATTCATGAGTGAGATCCTACTTCAGTGAACTGAAAAGTGCACGCTGCTGCCACAGTATTCCCATAAACTGTGTGTAGCTAACTAAGCCAAACTCACTCATGGATTCTGGAATCTGTTCCTTTTTAAAATCTCACTCAAAAAAAGTAATTGTGACATACAATTGCATACCTACTATTTCAGACTGACAGTTTACAGGGATATAACACTACATTATGCTTAATAATTTTGAATTGATTTATTTATATGCATATCACTAGATCTAAGGAAAGCAGCTATTATAGTATTGTGTTCTTAATGGCACCAGCTGTGTATGCTAACATTTTATATAACCTTCTTTACATTTTTGGGACAAAGTGTGTTTTCCAAATCTCTTAAATCCATGTTTCAGAGTAATTCAAATTAAAAACTGTGATCCTGTCCCAACCCCTGCAGCTCCCCTCTTCCTCTACCCAAGACCCCATGTAAGAAGAACGCATGAGTGGAAATATCTTAATTGCAGGGGATAGAGAAAAAAGAACAAGTTTGGAAAAAAAGGACAACATAAAATTAAAGGAAAAGGTTGACAATAATGAATCTAAATTAAAAGTTTAAAAAGTGCAGACAATTGATACAGGATGCTAAAGGTACAAAACAAATCTATGATTAATGTAAAGGGGTGCTAGTAGGAAGGTATCTTTAAAAAAGCCATCTGAAACAAAAAGGAGTTCTAACAAACATTGGCATAAGTGTATTATTAGTTGAAGACAGTAAAATTGTCAATTGTGCAGACAAGGAACGAGAATTAAATAATTATTTCTATTCTGCATTTGGAAAAAAAATGTGGATGATGTAGTCCTATTGCACAATAACAATGAATCACTTTCTACAGAAGTTCAACATTTTAAAATAAGCAAGACCATGTAACATAGGATTATGTGACCATATATGCTATACAACATTAATAACAGGCAGCTCAGTTAGCAATGTCTCCACTCACTTTAAAACCAAGTGTGGCAGCACAGTAGGAGGCACTACTATGCAGAGCCACCCACCTCACTGTGCCAGGCCCAAAACCTCACTTTGGGAGTCTCTCTCGGGGAGCCTACAGCTGGCTGTCCTGCTTCCTGGAGATCCCCTGCAAGCCTGGGGTAACGTTGCCACCACTCAGGCACTGGTCTCTGTTAGGGCTCTGTGCAGCCTGAGGCACATGGAACCTGTGAACCTAGGGGGAGTGCTTTGCCCACAGTAATGTTTTTGGGTGCTTCTTTCAGCCCAAAGCATCCCAAGATAGCATCAGATAGAACTTAGAGAAAATAAAAAGACAAACTTCACTGGCCAAGCAGGGAGTGGAAGGTCTCTCTCTCTCTCTCTCTCTCTCTCTCTCTCTCTCTCTCAGTGCCCAACACTGCAGGTTGTAGCCTTACACCTTTGATTGGGGTGGAGAGCAGGGGTAGAACAGGGAAGTCAGAATACACTGAGCAAACAAAAGCAATGTGCATCTTTACAGAGATTGGATACAGTGACCCTTTTAAGATGCAATTGGCCTACACGTAATTCCTAACTTCTGGCAGGTTTCCAGGTTCCTACTTACAGAAATCACCAGGCAACTGCCTGAGGTGCTTGCTTGTAGTGTTCAAAATGCCTGATGGAAGGAAGAGATGGCTTCCCCCTTCCTCTAGGAATTTTATCTGGCCAGGTCACCTGATTGACCAGCCTGAACCAAGAAGAAAGCAAGGAGAAAGAGGGGTCACTTGGGCTGACCCAAGTGAGGGTTGGAGTGAGGGGGCAGGATTTCTTCACACCAAGTATATGGAGTTTTACAGAAGTATGCATGAGGAATGGTTGACAGCAGGAGGTGTTTGGTCACCTTTGGGCTGGAGGGGATGGGTAGAATTTAGAAAGGAAAGCGTTGGATGAATAGCATTCTCACTAGCGTTCATTAAGATTGTGGTCTTTTCACTGGTGTTGGAAGGTTGAACTAGTGGTAAGGACTAGTTCTGGGTGGGATAGTAGGTGGTATATACTGCTGCTTGCCTTAAGTATTTCTTGGCCACATCTACAATGAATGTGGAGCAATAAACTCCACCACATCTTGCATCAGAGCTTATTGCTCCTGGACATGCTATTTGAACATTTGCCTGGGACCGTAGCACATTGAGCCAGGTCAGAGCAGCCCCGTCTGGCAGGGGGCCCTGGGGAGGGTTAGCCTGCCAGGCCAGTGCTGCTCTGGCTTGGCTCAATGTACTGTGGAGGGACTGGCTGGGGCAGGAGGGTGCTCCAGTGCAGGGCTAGCAGGCAGGCAGCCCTGACACTGAAGCACCCTTGTGGCCCAGCCAGCTGTATCGGCATTTACATGTGCAGTGCTGTAGAGTAAAAAACTCTGCAGCAGTAGAAGGTATACCCACACCCTGGCTTATGCCAACAGGAGCTCAGGTCAGGCAAACCTAGATCCAGGTATCTATGTTGCATTACTGCACTTATGCTAAAACTCCAGCTTCCCATGTACACACTTTTACTCCTGGCATAAGTGTCTGGTGCTAAGATATTTGGGGGCAGGGAATCCCACGCATCCACAAGGACATGAAGTCGGCTACATTGGGTCATGCTAAGGAGTAATTCATCTTAAATGCACATGTTACTTTCTTGATTGTGCATTGTTGTGGGACTTGCTGTACTAATTTTTTACCTCGTGTAAGTTATTTCAGCATGAAATAGTGTAGAGTGCGTGGGAGGCAGGGGCAGCTCTAATTTTTAGAGAGCATATTGTATCTGATTCACTTTATGTCCAGCATTTGCAGAAGGCTTAAATCTCTTTGTTTGTGAGTTTGAACTCCTGGGATACCATATCATTTAGTTTTGTATATTGATTTGTGTTTTCTAATTCTTCAGTAACAGCCACATGTGCACCAAAAGCTTTTCATTTCCTTGCAAGTAAGTGGACAACACTGAATGCTCTGTACAAAAACAGACTTTATTAAACCAGTAGAAATACCAAGGGGAACCAAAAGAACAATGCAATTGTACCAGGCACCTACTGAGAGATATGAAGTTAGAAAATGAGGTGCATGGTGTTAATGTAAATTGCCAAAGAAAAAAATACCCTACAAGCAGTCAGTGGCAGTCATTTCTGCTGCCTGTGTTTCCCCATCTATTTTCCTGTTTCCTTTTTTTCCATCCAGAGCCCATTCCAGGGCTGTAGGTATAGATGCTTTTCAGCCATCCCCGCTCCTGGAATTATCCATTGCCCAAGAATTTCCAGACATTTCCAATTCTTGAAGAGTCAGCAGGATTTAGGGCTATGCTAGAGAGGCTGGAGGAGCAGTAACTGCTGCCAGCTGAGGGACTGATACCTACATGAGAAACAGTGGAAACTGGGATCTGCTCAGAAACACCATCAACCACCGTTTGTTGATTTCATGATCCCTTTCATTGTTTTCTTAATCCAAGAATCTTTCCAACAGCTTCTCATCCTGCTTCTCCTGTACTGCTGCAGCTCCTTATATTTCATGCTCCTCCTTTACATCTCAGTGGGCGAGTCTACACATACATTAAATGCACTGTTGCTGCTGCACATTGTGTAGTACTTCTAATACAAGGCACTACATAAATGTGCAGTAGTTGGCATTAATGCGTTGTAACAAAGGCACATGGTCTTTTTGTGACAACGTGCAGTAGACTAATTCTACTGTGAATTAGCGCATTAGCACAGTTTTTGCCGCAACGCACTAATGGCAGTAGAATTAGTCTACTGGGCATTAAGCATCTTGTGTAGACGCGCCCTGTGACAATATAATGTATGGCCGCTTTCATTTTCATTTCAGTCGTACTGCTTCAAGACTCAGGCTTCTGGGCAGACTGGCTAGACCTTTGCATCTAGAAGTGGTTACAAAGAGTATATCTTTTTTCCTCCCTACAGGGTAAAAAAAAAAAAGGAAAAAGAGTTCATTGTGGTAGGCTGCAATTCCTTGTTTGAGAGGCGGCTTCCACAGTCTTTTGAACAGCCAGCCATAACACAGCAACAGTTGTAGACTTCAGGCTAAGTTCACTGTGCAGTGCTTGTTTAATGTCAAAAGTAGCTGGCCGTGACATAAGGTGCCTGTCTTGTGTTTCATAGCATCAGGCCCTAAATTTCTTTCAGACTGGGTCCCCCCAAAGACAACTTTTAGAAGTTCCTGAATAGAAAAGAGAGGTAGAATTTTAGGCCAGTAGCTGGGCTTACCAAAATATGTGAAGGAGAAGAATTCAAAGAGCCTAGTAACAGCACAACATAACAGTGAAAGGAGAAGTCTACAGGACTCAGTTACACAGATGGGTCTGAAAAGTCTACCCCATCAACTAACTTGATGGACTATAATTCCTTGACTGACAATCTGCAAACTTCCTAGCCCAACAAGGACACCCCACTAGGGAAACAGACTGCATCTTTTCATAAGCCTTCGACACACTCCACAGAAACCTACTTCAATACAAAAAGAACCCCACCCCCCATTCCACACTGGAACCTATAAGAAGAATTGTTAAACAATTACAAACTATACTCGAAGAAGATCATACCTCCCAACACCCACTTCTCCTTGGCTTTCAAACATCTCCCAAACCTTGCCAAACACACCATCAGAAGCAACCTCTCTTCTGACTAAATACCAAATAGAACAAGACCATACCAGGACCAGTGCAAACCCTGCCAACACATCTCCACTGCCACCGCAGTAGCATCAGAATCCATGGATCCTGTATATGCCTATCACAATGTGTGACACACCTCATCCAATTCAACAAATGCCCTAGCCTAGCAGAAATTCTGTAGGTGAAAGTAAACGTCTGTGCTCCAGAATGGACTCCCACAGAAAAGAATTATAAAGGACAGTGGGAGAACACTTGTCACAAAACAGTGACGCCATCTCTGATCTTGCAGTGCTTATCCTCAAGAGAAATCTA